GCCAAAAAAATTAAAAATACGCAACCAGCGCCCCAGGATTTTTTTTAACAACTTAACAAAAAGAGAAGCCCAAATTTACGTATTATAAGCAGACTTGGCAACTCTGTCACGATCCAGCTGGATGAAGTTGGCCTCACAGATTTTGCTGAGTGCATAACGTCAGTTGCTGCACAGGTTGTTACATGTCGCGTGCCAGTTTAACACATTCATGGAAGGAGAATCACAGAAGTGGCGCTTTTAACACGATTAGGGTTTCAGTTAGGTTTAGATCATTTCGATCAAAAAAAAGAAAAGAAAAGAAACGGACTTGAACTCGAACTACCCGAGTCCCCCTGTCTGCGGGCATGGATATACAGTAGGGCAAATGCTGAAACCTCATTTTCATGTTTGCTCTGCTCTGTACTGTAAACCTGTTCTACCTGTTTTGGGGCAGAGGAGGAAGAGAAGAGAAAGAAGAGGGGAGGATCCTAAAAGTAATCCTAACTTAATTTTCGTCTAACTTTAAACGATTTATGCATTGTTTATGCTTTTTTTTGTTACACATAAATGTCTTAAAACTAAATTGTACAGATAGGTTCCAGTTCCATGCATGTTAAGTGTAATTTAGTTTTTGTCGTCTCGCTGTTATGCATGAAGCTCCTCTGTTTCAACTCATGGACTTAAAGATGGAGCTTCTTCAGTTTCAGCACTATATTAGGGCGCAAAATACAAGCCTAGATCAGGACTGCAGAAAGGTTGGTCTGGTGTTAATGATGAGAATGTATGTATTTATGTGCTTGCCTGTGTGCACTATAATGTACAGTTTGCACTGCAGTAAGTTGTAGTTGCGATAGTGACGCACTGACAGGGGGCGTGGCCATAATTTCCGAAGTTATATATCAGTGGACAGAATGTCAAGTTTTATCTGGCCATCACCTTATTGACACGTTATATTTTTATTTTGATATTTTCTTGCTTCTATTCTTTCTTGCTTGCTTTCTCTGCCTTTTTTCTATCGAATTAATGCAAAAATGGCAGGTTTAATAAATTGTCCTCACTATCCGGACATGCGAGTCATGATACACACAGATGTAGTGGCTGTGTAGTTCATGCTTGAAAATCTGAATTCAACATTAACAATCACCATCTTTGTAATGAAGAAACTAACATTTTCTGTGAAGCTGTTTTGCAACGACGTGTATCTGAAAAACGCTATAAATAAACATAAATTGAATTGAATCTTCTACTGTGCAGGGTTTTGACAATAGGCTATCTCTACCGATATTTAGAAAAAATAAAAGGCTTTACAAATGAGTTACAACAATACAATGAAAATAAGTGCAGGTGTACAGCGAGCTAATTTTAATGTCTAAAGCTCGCTGATTTTTCATCAAGAGAAATAGTTTTAGCCGAAACAAAACTGAAACCAGAAACACTGAACGGATTGAATAGTAACAAATTCAAAAAATATTCTAAATATTCAAATTCTAAATATCCCCAACTAGTTTATTTATTATTTTACGTTAATGAAGGAATATATGTATGTATTTATTTATATTTATAAGGTATCATGGTATCAACATTTATATAGGCTAACATGTTGGCTGATGAGAGGGGGATATGTATTCATATTTATTAACAGACACTAATGCAATTTAAGTGTAAATCCTGATTATTATTGGGACTTATACTACAATCATGCTGACCCATGTGTTCATTAAATGTATTAATTGATTGACATTATATAATCTGTTATTAATCAATGTTTTTAAAGAACACACATTTTAGACTATTCTGAAAATTCAGATTACAGCAATACACAAATACTCTAATAGGTGAATGTTTATTATTATTATTATTATTATTATTATTATTATATAAGCTTTAAGGTACAATGTGTAAGATTTTCGTAATAAAATATCAAAAACCACGTGCACATTGTTATATATGTCATGCAGTTGTGTACTTACGTTATCCCAAAAGTTCCCAAGGATTTGTAAATCCAGAGAAATTCCAATTTTAAATAATGGCTCGGCCCCGTTCATTGTTGCCTATCAATGACTTAATATCCGCACTATTTGTTTCCGCTTGTAGAAACCATGGCAACACACGTGGACAAAAATGCTGCTGTACAGTTAAACTAAATCCATTACGGCTGTCGTGAATAAAATGAAAATAAAATGAAAAGCATTAAATTTAGATCTGCTCAATGTTGCACCATGATTCTTTTTCCGCGTTCTAACAGTGTTGCGCGCTATAACCAATCACACACGAGTCTGTTGAGTTTATGAACGCAGCGGCCAATCAGAGGCGTTCAGATGAGTCATCGCTGAAACACCGGAGTTTTGTTGTTCAGTGCGCGCGCTCGCTGACTGAATTCTGCTCTCTCGCGAATTCTCTCATCATAAACAACAAAGTGCAGATGTACATATGATGTAAGCAGGAGATACATTCATCAAACAGTGTATAGACAGCTTTACTGATTATAAGGTTTTTTTTTTTTTGAGAGTGCAAACTCGCACTAGACTGAAGTCAGTCATACTGTTCTTTGACAAGGTAAATGTTCTTTGCTCGCTTTCTCTGTATAATTTATTCACTGTTTGAATAACTTTGAAAGGTACAGGTAGTAAAAAATGTATTCATTACATCCATGAACATGATTCAGACATCTCTGGATGGTGAAAACGACATCTCCCATCATTCCACTGTCCTTCATAACCGTGTTATAAAAGCTTCACCTTTGTTATTGTTTTAAAAAATTGGACCTCTAGCGGCGAAAAGTTATATATTGTGCCTTTAACAAGAAAATAGATAGACCCTTTAAAAGGTCCATTTGATTATTCAGATATTAGATACGTAGGATTTCTGTTCAGTGTTGACTTTTATTCAGACAGAAACTC